CTCTGCCGTCACAAATGTCCATGCCGTCTTTCCCATATTCCACTTCCCTAGTTTATCACACCTACCTCCATTAGGAAACGCTGGTAGTGGCTCTCCTTGAGCACTGGGGCACAAGTATGGCGAGAGACACATCCCGATAGCATCAGGCATGTATATATAAGAAACCAAGGAGGAAGGAGGGCAGGGAATAGGGGAGGACGGTCTTGGTGCGCATGTGTATTGGGGAGGTTGGGGGAGGCGCGGGATCGCGCACACATATTTGAGAAGACCTGATGTGAGGGGGAAGGGGCCCCAGCTGGGGAGAGTGGGAGGTAAGCACGCGCAAGCTTGGAGGGGGGGGGAGCATCGAGTGCGTATTTAAGGGAGCGGAATTCCCAGTGCACAGTTGGCAGCCGCGGTTGGAAGGGAAAGTGAAGGCGCGCGTGCGTATTTGAGACGACATTGTGACGGTTGGCTTTAGGAGGGGAGAGGGGCGCATGCGTATTTCAGACGGAATGACGGGGAGGGGAGGCGCGCACTGTAGGTGTGGTTACGATTGCAAAATGGCGAGGGGGGAGGTAAGTTGTCTTTGCTAGGCCATTTTGGGCTGGGGGGCCCTGCAGAGAAGTACAGCTACCTTTCTGGTTGGGTGAAAGGATCTGCCGAGTTGGAGTTGCCCTAGGCTGTGGCCAAATTCACCAGAAATTAACCTAGAATCTTAGCCCTTCAGTGGTCCATTGATAAATGTGGGTTTGAAAATGCCGAGGCGATGATGACTCTGTGAAAGGTTTCGGCAGCTGGTGTGTGTAAGAAATGCGTAAAACGGGAGCCTTGGGGACAGGGCACATTCTGGCAATACACAGTTGGAGGGCTCTCTGTCAGACTTTGGGCCGCTGTACTTGGCACTCGACACATTCTCTCATCCCTTCAGATTTGCAGAACACGGTGATTGCAGTATTATTGTGAGAGTCTACTGTTACGTTGGTCGGAAGCTCTTGCTTTTCTCACTTGCAGAACATAGGGCTAAGGATTTGGCTGTTTCCAAGTGCTTGTTACACTTTAAACCCAGGATTTGGGTAAATGGAAATGGTGGTGTGAAGGTGACCTGGGTTCATACCCTTTCCTCGAAATTATTTTTTTCTGCAAAATTTTAGCCTAGGGGGAGGACTTTTTTAGGTAGCCCTACTGTCGTGGATCTCAAGAGGGCTGTCAGTGAGGATCTATTGTAAATCACTAAAACTAACAGTTTAGCACTTAAATATGTAGCAGAAAGGGCACAGGATTCAAAATTGAAGAGACAGGTCTTTTCCAGTGATCCTAGTTGTGATCTCCTAGTGGTCCTTTTCCTTCTCTGGGCCTATTTCGCTATTTATAATAATAATTGTATTCAAACGTCTGTAGCACTTAAAACTATGTGCCAGGTACTGGTCTACCTGCTTTTACACGTGCCTCAACTCATTTAGTACTTTCGACAATCTTACTAAATAGCAGTACCGTTATTCAGATTTTACAAATGAGAAATGTGGGGGACACAGATTAAGTAATTTGCCCAAGGCTTTACATCCATTTGAATGGCTGAAACTGGATTTTTGTCCAGGTTGTATGGGTCCATAATGCTGTGTTCTTAACTGTTATGCTTTAATTCCCTAAAATGAGGGGGCAAATTTAAGGGACCCTTCTTTTATGATTTCAAAAATGTTTTTGTAACTTACCTGTGCTGTTTAAGAAGGGAGACCTGTTTGCTTTTGGCCACTTTTTACTCGGTGCATCCTACAGGGTTACATATGTAGAAGACAAAAAGTAAAAATTGTTGATTTGCAGCCTACCGGGGCGGCCATCCTTATCTATCCTTGTCTTCTATGCTTTTTGTTCTGCAGAGGGTTTAAAATGGCCGACTGCGGCAGGCTGGACACACCCATCTTGTTTTGCCTGATTTGAGATCTGGTCAAATGCTTTGAGAAAGCAGTCTTTTGCTGCGGTAGAGATTTTTTCTTACCCATTATTAATATTATGGTGTGTTAATACAAATGTCCAATAGTAAAGTCAGGTTATTGCCTTTTCCCCCCCTTATAATAGAAGACTGAAAATACATGCATTTCTTTTATTATTGGTTAGGATAGGTTCACTGAAGTGGAATTACTATATCAATGCGTTTTTAACATTCAATATGTACTGATAAAGTTCATTCCGAAAAGGTCGTACCAAATTTTACTCATAAAAGTATTAAGTGGTGTTTGTTTTTTAAAAAGATGTTATGGATAAAAACAAGTATTATTTTAATTTTGCATTTCTTTGGTTATTAGTGAGTTTGGACTCCTTCCTCCGTATATTTCTTAGCAGTTTAATTTTCTTTCATGTGATGTTAGTTCATGTCTTACACTGATTCATCTGTTGGAGTTTTTAGTTTAGTGTTCTTATTATCTGTTTGAAAGTGTTTTTCAAGTAAAGGCTATTACTCAGATTTCTGCATTGTTATATACTCCAGGTTATTGTTTACCTTTTAATTTTTGTTTTCAAATATTTGGTTCGTAGAGATTTGAAAGCAAGTAGTAACTTTGTCCATCTTCTATTTTGTGATTTTTTTTCCATTAAGTTTGAATAGTTCCCTCAATCTAGAAATTTGGTAAATATTCATTATAGCTTTGTCTGAGGATAACCATCAGGTATAGGGAAGAAGGATCTGTAATTTTACCACCCAGAGATAACCAGTGTTTATAAAAGTGTTCACATCTTTTCATTCCCTGCATTTTTCTACAGTTGATCATGTATTTGTACTGTTTTATGTTCTGTTTTGTGTTTAACATTATAACATGCATTTTTCCATGCTAAACATTGTTTGCAGTTGTCATGTAATGGTTTCATGATATATTGTTGTATGGAAATATTTTAGGATTTTCAGTAAAGTATTACAATGAATGTCTTTTCATTTTCATTTAGTTTTTATTGTTTATCTATTTTGAGTTATTTCTTTATAGAGTTCCAGAATTAGAATGGTTCATCAAAAAGTTTGAACATTATAGAGATTTGCTACAGTAACATTCCAAAAAAATATGTCATTTTTTTGTGCCCAGCTATTTAGGTATTTAGAATATTTTTTTTGCTAACTTTATATGTAAAAGAACGGTATCTTTGTTTTATGATCCATTTCTCTGATTATTGGTGAGGCTGAATTCTCAAATGTTAATTATTAACTCTTCCCTTTGTGAACTATTCAATTTGGGTATGAATGTTAAGTATTTGTAAGAGCTGTATATTATGTGTTCTGTATAAGGATCTATTATCCTTGTCATTTATTGCAAAGGATACATGTGATTTGCTGCACATATACTCCTAGCATATGTTGCCTTTGAGTCTTAAAAAATGTTTGTGATTCCAAAGACAACTGCTTTGTGGAATACCTGTCAGATTCTTGGTAGCCATTTTGAGATAACATTTCTTTGTCCTTTAAATAGATAGCTATTTCTTTTTATCTAAAGGAGAGCAGTCTTGAATGCTGCATAGCATTATTGCACCCTGGCTATGGATGTGGGAAGAAGACATGGCAACATTTTGTCCCTAATAAGAAACCAACTTATACAGCACACAAAACAGTAGTACCCTCGCCCCCATCCATTCTGGGACTGATCTTATTTTGAATATTCACGAGTGATGTGGGAGACGGTATGGACATAGTGTGATGTCCACATATAGAGAGACCACTAAGCACTTTGAGGGTGTAAAATGCTGGTAGGAACAAACTGTAACACCTGAGAAGGCATTGTGAGTGTGGGCTGACCGTGATAGAATAGAACAGTGTAGGCAAGAGCAATATAATGACTTCAGGGGAAACTAATGTGTTAAGCGTATAAAATAGTGGCCTCAGAGACATTGAATCCCAAGACAGGGATCCCAGTGTAAATGGCAACAGTTTATTGATGTCATCAGCTCAATTTGCTGGTGCAGACACAAAAGAGCCGTTAAAAACATAGGCCCTATTAAGAACAGTATGGGATGCAGAAAAATTCCATTCTGTCTTTGTATAAAACCATCTGAGCCAAGTGACTAGTAATCTCTTCACAAGAAGTCTGTTACTGTAACTCAGTTTTGAAAAGTGGTTGGGAAGAGTGTATTACCTCATTTCATTTTTCTTATTTATTATGAGGTAGGTAATTTAGAGAATCTTTAATTATATTTATTAAGTAAATCTTTCTAAATTATTATTCCCAATACATGAACTATATACTATCTCATATATGTATTTAAAAACATTCTAATTTTTATATTTTCAGTTAATGGGGGGGGGTTATAGGATTTAGAAGTGCCAAGTCATTTGTTACGTATTGCTTTTTGCTATCCAGTTACACTGGGTTAATCTAGTTAGTCATAAATTCCCATTTTTCAGCATTTTGTTAGTTGCAGATGTTAAACCAGGCTTAGGTATGGGGGTGGGGAGGTTGACAAATGTATAATAAGCAAAACAAAATAAGAACAGAGCCTGCATTGTAGAGGAGGTGGTGGAGAAGGTCCTTTCTAGAGGTCTGTGCCTACCTTAAGCATAAGAATCTTATCATGCCAATATCTAGTTCCTGAACCCATGTCTGGTCAGGAGTTAGGGAGAGCCTGGATATTTGAAATAGCCTAAAAGCATTTAACCTTTGATTTCCACAATTTGTTCTTCCCCTCTGTTGTTACAGCCAGCAGCAGCCTGGAGCAGCGCCCCTGGAAAGAAATTTTACATCGGCCATTATAATACAACCTGATAAGTGTTACAGCACTTACCAGGTTGTATTGTAATTGTCTGTGTATATGCCTGTCTCCTTTCCTATGTTATCAGTTAGACTGTGAGCTCCTTGAGGGCAGGGACAGAGTCTTCTCCAGAGCCCAGCCTGGCACATTAGTAGGCTTCAGTAAATGTTTATTGGATGAATAAATGAATGACTCATCAACAAACATTTATCGTGTGCCTGCTAAGGTGATCTCCACAGGCTCTGGACTGTCAACTGTTTATTCAAAATGCATGTGGTCAGAAACTTGGTGTTTCTAATTATGTATCTATCGTAAGAGTTTTTCTGAGATAATGCTATTTTTTTGTGTGTTTGGATTTCAGTCCTTGGTATTTACAGATGTTGCTACTGTTGTTGCTGCTGACAGCCTCTTCCTTGGTGGGACCTGGGTGATAGCTGCCAGGTCATGAGCCTCATCTTCACTGCCCAGTGTTTGCTCAATGGTTCCTGTTTGTAGAATCATCCCCTTTTCACCCCTCCTCAGATCATCCTTCAAATGGTGTTCCTAGGTAGGGCTCCACATTCCAGATATAGGTAGACAAATACAGCCCATGGACTGCCTGGTTTTGCAAATAAAGTTCTATTGGATCACGTGTTATTTGTTGATATTTGGTCTGTGGCCCTTTTGGCCTGCAAAGGCAGTGTTGAGTAGCTCCATCAGAGATCCAGTGGCCCATAAAGCCTACCCTTTACAGGAAATGATTGCCTACCTTGCTTTGGATCATTACTTAACAGTGATGGTTTAATTTCCCTCTCCATTCACCAAAGATACTTCTGGCATCTCAGAAACTCATTTATTTACCTCATTCGTTACTGCTTATAACAAGTCTTTTTCCTATTTTACAGATGGGCCAGCTAGAACGCATCAAACTAGATGCTTATAAGGCCTCCACCAGAGTCCTACAGTCAGTCAGTTATACCATGTACTTCAACATCAAGTTTTGAGCTTCATCTCTAGAAATTCCTTTTGTTATATCCTAACCTGAAGAATGTGGCCATATCATACCTTGGTGCCTTATGCCTTGACCCCCTCCTTCCTACACAGCTCTTTGCAATGAGAATATGGAAAATAACAAATTAATGTGAGATAAGGCAGACAGGTAGGCTGAGGCAAATGTTTACAGGGTCTGAATGCTAATGCACAAAGAAATGGGGTTTCTGAAATATTCACTTGCTTAGACTTAATACAGTTAAGGAGCCTGGACTTCCAAGAGCTTAGGACCTTCCCCTTAGCATCCCTAACCTCCCACACTGTTGTCTTGGTTACCTGCCTGTGGATATATTGTGATTCATTTCAGGTCATTAAAAAGTTGAGAGCTCCCAAGTCCAATTCAAGAAAGCTAGATCTAAAAAAAATAAAATGGAAAGAATATAGGATAGTTTCATTTCAGGAGTGAAATGGAGAGAAAGGCCTTACTTACAGCATTATTTTTCAAGCTGCTTGCTGGATTTTTCCCAGCATTCTATTATGAAAAATTTTAAATATACATATAGAAAAGCTAAAGAGTTGTGCATTGAAAGCCCATCTATCTACCAACTAGATGTTACAACTAACATCTTGCCATATTTGCTTTATTGCATATTCATCCATCTTTGTCAGATAGGTTTTTAAAATGTTTGTGTTGTCATCCATTTTGATCTCATCTGTATCTGACCCACATGGTACTGAAAAAATAGTTTCTTTGGATTCTTCTCTGTATTTCCCAAGTTGGCATGGATACTACTGCAGCCTAAATATGTGGGCTGATCTGCCTGGCAGTGAGATTCCAGGGAGAGAAGCCATTTGGTTTCTGAAAGAAAATGGTTGCTGCTCACTGTTTAGTGAAAATGGTAGGAGAAGGAAGGATGGAAGTCCAGGTTCAGGTGTCAGTGAATCTTCTAATTGTATATTGTTCTACACTCCATTCACTTCACTGCCTTGCGGGGGTCGGGGTGGGGGAGCAGGTGGTTTTCTGAGCAGCTTCTACTTGGTTCTTACCTTTTAGACTTGATGAAAAAACAACGAAGTCACATCAAAATGCCACTGAGGTGATTTAGCATTAGCACAATTCCTTGCAATTTTAGCAGATGGATTTTTAATTTGGAGTACTGTCAAATAATATTCTTGTGGACCTTTTCTATTAGCAACAGCTGCAGAGTCCATTTAGGAATCACCATGAACTGAAATCTTAATTTATCCTCATTATGAACATGATAATGGTAAACGTTTCCAGTTTGTGTCTGTCTCCCTTCATTTAAGCTCAAGGGCAGAGACTGTATCTTACTCATCTTTGTAATTCTCTTAGTAATAAATGTTTGTATTCATAAGAAACTGCGTTATTGCATTTAATACCCATCACATGGGCAAATGTTAAAAAATGTTACACTAGTGTTAGTGGGGTTACCCAGTGTCAGTATAATTCTTTGTAGGGGCAGTTTGGCAGTATGTATTAGTGAGCAGAATAAATATTGTCTGACTTTTGACCATGCAATTTCATTTCTAGGGCTATACCCCAAAATATTCTAAAAGAAATATTCTAAGGCTATTCTAAAAGATGTAGGTATGGGAATGTTCACAATGTTCATAGCAATAAAAAATGGAAAATTACTTGTTGATGAATAATTTGGGTAAATAAATTTTGATGTATTCATGCAATATTATAATATGGCATTAAAATAAAAACCTTAAATAAAAATAGTCTTACAGATGAATATTTTACTTGGAAAGGTGTATCAAGTATATTAATTGAAAAAAAGGCTAGAGAGCAATAATACAGTTCTCATCTAATGTTTGTAAAATAAAAATTAATGTTTGTGTACAATAAGTAGTTGGAAGAACATAGTGTTAATTAAACTTGCTGGGATTCTATGATTTTTACTTTCTATCTTTAATACATTCCTGGAATTTTTTTTGTCACAGTGTACATTTATGACTTTCAAAGTTAGACGAACACTGAAGCTATTTCCATTTTGAAATTTGTTGACCTAAACAGAAGCGGAATAAATTGCGTGGTAGGGGGGCCGGAAACTGGAGCAATTTCGTTTGGAAAAGAGCTAGATGGAGTGGGGGAAGGGAGTGGTGGAAAGAAAATCTCTGTCTTCAGAGAAAGTCCATAACTGCCAGCTACTCTATTCTTGACTCCTTAATGAAGGCATTTCATGCATCAGGGTTTACATTTACCATTTATTTCCCAATTCTGCCCTTTACAAATTTCTTTCCCATTCTTGTCCCTCTGGTCTGTATGTAACAAGCTAAAAATAATTACTAGTGGCAGCAGCTGCTTGTAGGTGTCCAGATCTTACTCTAGTAATATCTGCATTGATTTATCCAATAAAGAGATGGCTCAAACTCATCAAGACTCCTGCTCCCCTCCCCCAGTGCTTGGCCAGCATGAAATCTTCCCCATTTATGGTGGGAGAGCTTTCTGCCTGGCTCTCATGATTATTAGTAGATTATAAGACATTTTTGCTGGTGGTTAATGACACAGTTAAAAATGAGCCCTGAGAAACTGCTCCTTGGGTTTTTCTGGGGTTTGAGGGTTGTCTGCATCTCACTGGGTGACAGGAAACCTAGTTGCGTTAGCTTGTGCTACCAGCATCTGATGCTATTAATAACCTGGGGTGGGTTGTTTTTCATGCTAAGCAGCTAGGGACTGGGAAACTTAGAGGCAATAGGCTGCTTCCTTAGAAAGAAAGGACACTTGGGGATCTTATCCTGTTTGGGTCTTAGGTCTCAGAGCTCCATTCTTCCTAGTGGGTTGAGTCTTGGAGATAGGGGAGTAGGCATTGGCCTACCTAGCTCCCTCCCTTTAATCATTTTGGTAATCCGGGCAGCTGATAAGGGGATAGATATGTTCAATTCCTTTTCACGTACAGCTAAGGTGAGTCCTGGTGGAAGTTGGGATTGTAAATGATAGCCCAGAGCCCAGGGTTTTGTTACCTTTTCTCATTAGTGTGAACCAAATGCCATCCAATGACTAGCTAGATGGAGGTTTCATTCACTTTTTCGGAGCTCTTTTAGCCAGGAATACAGAATGGAGGGTCATATCTGCCAGACATAGAAGGACCCCTAAGAAATCAAGTTTACTCCCATTCAAAGGTAAGGATATTGAGGTCTAAAGAGGGTAAAGGCTTGGAGGTAGCTAGGAAGATTAAACATCACACTTCATATCTGAGTTCTAACACTTTGATACATCTATTTGCTTGGTGCCTGTAAATGCAAGTTATCTCATTTAGAATGGATGCAATACCCTCCCCTGTTCATGCACTGTCTCTCTCTGTCTCAAAAATAAATAAACGTTAAAAAAAATTTAAATGGATGCAAGAATTCTTATTAAATAATAATTGTAGATATTGGAAGTCTTCCAGATAGAGAATATAATTGACGCTAATAGTAATGCTTACCAAGAGCAAAATCTGAGATCTATGGTGTGGGCTGGATGACTTGACTGAGGTGGTAAAAGTAAATTAAAGCTGTATCTCAAAACTTGGCTATCCTGTGTTACATTTGTTTCTTCTTCCTTCCCTCTATCCTACAGGTGACACCAAATGTGATCAGAAGCCATGCCCATGGTGAAGAGGTATACTGAACCCGGCCTGGCCCAGTGAGGTTACTAGAGAATTGGGAAAGGCTTAAATAAGTATCCTGCACATGGTTATCAAATCATTGTAAAGTCTTGGTAAGTGGTTAGCGGCTTTAGTAAGCTAGCCCAGTTACTGGGAAGGGACAGGGAAGGTAGTCTTAATAGATATTAGGCAATTACTTGGTATTTTCCCCATCGTGGTATGAATAAAAAGCATCTTAAAATATTCGGACTACACAGAAAGCAGTGAGCCTAACCTTTCATTTTTTAAGTTTCTTTTTTAAATTTTTTTGAGAGAGAACATGAGCATGAGTTGGGGAGGGGCAGAGAGAGAGGGAGAGAGAATCCCAAGCAAGCTCAAAGTCCAGTGTGGGGCTCGAACTCACGAACCCTGAGATCATGACCTGAACCAAAATCAAGAGATGCTTAACTGACTGAGCCACCCAGGTGCCCCCAACCTTTCATTTTTTCATCCTCTCATTTTGTATATCTTGCCCAAGATTATAGCTAGTTAGTGTAGGAAATGGATTTGAATTTAAGCCAGTACTGTGTCTTTTTACCCAGTGCTTCCTCTAGGTTCCATCTAAGTGTAAGGAGGCCATATGAGAGAGAAATGTCTTTATTTCACACTGAAATTTTTTAAGTTTATTTATTTATTTTGAGAGAGACAGAGACATCGCAAGTCGGGGAGAGGCAGAAGAAGGGGGAGAGAGAGGATCCCAAGCAGCCTGTATTCTGCCAGCACAGAGCCTGACGCAGAGCTCAAACTCACAAAACTGTAGGATCATGACCTGAGCCAAAATCAAGAGTCGGACGTTTAACCGACTGAGCTACCTTGGGTGCCCCTCACATTGAAAGATTTTTATAATAGCCTCTGATATTGTTCTTTCCCAATGAAGGAAATTTTCATGGTGTAAATTTTTTTTTATGCAGAAAATCATCTGGAATGCTTGTTAAAAATGCAGATTTCTGGGCAGCCAGAAACCTTGCACTAGTCAAGAGCAACACTAAGACCCACCTGTCATTTATATTGAGGCTTCCTGCCCGGTGGGTTCATCAGCAAGCCAGAATGAATCACCATTGCTGTGTGTGGATCCTTGTGAGGCAGCTGGGAAGTCTTGGTAAGCTGCCAGTGGTTTGGGTGGGGCTCCCCCATTGGTAGTAGAGAAGAGACGATTGTGATGGACACTTCCCCCGCTTCCTTAAACAGACAGTTACTAAGTGCTTACTAGTTGCCAGAGACTATTGTAGATATTAACAAAGTTCTGCCATCATGGAACTTTCATTCTTATGAGAGTAGACAGAGGAACAAAGAAGCAGGGAAAGCATAAAGTATCATACATGTTACATCAGAAGTTTTCCATTATGGTATGAAAATTGTGTTAAAAATGGGTGGGTTAGGCTAAGCAACACCTTGTGTATTTTCCCCACTTTCCATTCTTCCTTTTAATACCTGCCCCTGTCTTTCAGTGCAGTGGAGGCTGACCAACCTGAGTATGAGAGGGTTATAGGTGATGAAAGCAATCTTTTTCCTTTTTGTTACCCTCACTAGGCTAAATTGTGAAGGATGTCTTTTGAAAAGTGTTCTAGAGAGTCTACTGGTTTTCCCACATGAGTGAACGTGTAGCAGAAGAGAGGATTCTCTCAGTGATTAAGGTAAATAGGGGAGGAAAGGATGACTTTGCCCTAACTCCTATCAGGGAGGCTGTTAGAAATGTCATTTCTGGGTGCCAATACTTTTGCTTTCTTTTTAAATTTTATTTGTTTGTTTGTTTATTTATATTCAAGTTAGTTAACATACAGGGTAATTACGATTTCAGGAGTAGAACCCAGTGATTCATCTCTTGCATATGACACCCAATGCTCATCCCGAAAAATGCCCTTCTTAATGTCCATCACCCATGTATAGCCCACACCCCCCCAACCACATCAAGCCTCAGTTTGTTCTCTGTATTTAAGAGTCTCTTATGGTTTGTCTCCCTCTCTGTTTTTATCTTATTTTTCCTTCTCTTCCCCTATGTTCATCTGTTCAGTTTCTGAAATTCCACATATGAGTAAAATTATATGATATGTCATTCTCTGACTTGTCTTGCTTAGCATAATACCCTCCACTTCTATCCATGTTTTTGCAAATGGCAAGATTTCATTCTTTTTCATCGCTGAGTGGTATTCCATTTTACATATATATATATATATATATATGATATGACATATCATATATATATATCACATGCCTTTAAAGTCTGTAGTTTATTCTGTGATACATTTTTCTTGAAACAATTGGGGTAAATTATCTTGTTTACCCAGTCTGTAATCACCCCTGCAGAGGATCAGAAGAACTAAAATGGTTGCCAAGTAAACTAGGCAGCATAAGCTACAGTCACAAATAAAGGCAGGACACTAATTATACTCCTCTTAAGGGGAGAGTGTCTTTTTAACCAGACTTGTTGAGAGTTTTTATCAGACAGTGGAGCTACATCTTGTCAAAAGTCAGCTCATAGCAGAGGCTCCATATTTCAGCGGTAGCCAAGTTAGTAATTTCAGAGATAGCAGTGTCTTCTGGATTGCACTTAAACCAATTGGACTAGTGTTCATTTTGGACTCCTAAGGGATCAGCCCCCTGATGGGCTCCAGGGAGCATTTAAATGGTCCATAGTTAAGAGAAGAGAGGCACAAAATCAGGTTCTTTGCTGACACTGGTCTAGTCTGGGGCCAATAAAGCCCCTGTGTTTTGGACACCACTTTGAGTCTGATACACCACTGAAAAGTGCTCTTCTGGCACCACCCTTGAACTCATTACCTCAGATGTCTGGATCAGTGGGTCCAAATCTTGGTAGACCACTTTCACTCACTTTGTCTGAACCTAAGAATCTGCAATCATGGCACAGACAAGCCAACCCACACGGAATACCTACAACGCAGAAAGACTTTTGCCCTCAGTGGAGCACAGGCACCAGGTCCTCTCCTTTCATTCATTTTCTTCCTCCTTCCGAACACAGAGCTAGACACCCCGTAAATAACCCCTTCACACATGCAGCACAGCAGTTAACAAAGGCTTCAGTAAGAAAGTGCGTTTGTCAGAGTTGGCCTGCTGACCCCAGTGTTGGAGGAGATTATTGACACGACGTGACCACTGGTTGACCCTTGAGCTTGACCCAGGCAAATGGAGGTTCCTCACTCTTTCCCTGTCCTTGGAGTGTACAGTTTCTGCATTAGGAACTGTTTCAAGGATGGAGCCTTGAAAAGGTAAGGTGTGGTATATAGACCGTCTGGATGGCACATGTGACTGAACCACGTTAAGGCCTCTATACCTACAAACCTTTAAGACTCTGGCAGAGGGGTGCAGACATCTGCTAGTCTCTGGCTGCCCGAGACAAGCCTCATAAGTTCCCTTGCTTATTAAAACCACTGCCTACCAATCTGGAGTGGTCTACCTCTTTCAGCAGTTTCTTTTGCCCCATGCGTATATGGACCAGTTGGGAACCAACACTCAGACACTAGGGGAGGTCAGGTCTTTCTGCTGCATCACTGGTAGGAGGGGCTGAGAACAGGCAGGAGTGACTGCCATACAGCAGACTCAGGCTGCGGGCCAGCCTGGTGGGACCAGCTGGCCTAGGAGAGCCAGTCACACGGCTTTGACCTGTGGCTGCCACCATGATCAGGGCCATCCTGAGAGGTAGCTTTTGCCCTCATGGACAGGGAAAGACCAGAAGGTCACAACCCATCTCATCAGAGAAGAGGGAGGCAGGGAATGAAAACACAACACTGCTGGTAAGCAGATCTCTGCCACAAACCTTGGCAGAGCACACACCTTTCTGAAGAGCCTGAGCCTGTACAAGCCAAGACATAAACAAGTACAGAACATCCCCTTCATCATTTCACCTATAGGTGGGGTAGGTAGTCTAAGGAGTTCACACAGGGATCAGGGCAAAAAGTTGATGGGGGAGAGGCGGTAAATAAGGTTCCAGAAAGGTAAAATAGGACTAGAAGAATTCACCGTGACTGGTCAGTTCTCTGTCACCTTATACCATGATCACAATTCAAATTTAATCACTCATTTTAAAATCGACTTTAAACTATTAAATCTTTTCTACAACGGAAACAAAAAGGTCCATAGTTAAAGTAGGAGGCATCTATAATATGGCCATTCCTGGGAGATCTCTACAGAGGCCATCCCTACTTTAAGCTAGTAATGCCTCCATCCAGAGTTAATAACCAGAATGCCAGTATCTGCCATTTTTCATAAAAGTAATAAAGGTCACCTTTTCCCATGAGGATGGTTTTGAGATGGTGCCTTCACAGCATAATGTTCCTCTGGAATATTTGGATAATTCTATTGACAGAATTCGATAATTAGCCTGCACGAGGAACCTGAATGATAGGAAAATTGTCTTTTCACTAAGGAGAAGCCTGGGATAGTACAAAGGGATTTCCCACATTCCGTGTATATTACAGCTTACTTTAAAATGACATTGGTCTTTGGGTATCTGGATGGCTCGGTCGATAAGCATCCAACTCTTGATTTCGACTCAGGTCATGATCTCACCGTTCGTGGGATCGAGCCCCACATTGGGCTCTGGGCTGACAGTGTGGATCCTGCTTGGGATTCTCTCTCTCCCTCTGTCTCTCTGCCCCTCTCCCACTTGTACTTAACTACCTACCTACCTAACATTGGTCTTGTATAAGGATAGGAATGTTAGTATGCTGTCCAAAAAAAAAAAGGTCTTCCTGTCTCTTTCTTCATATGGGCCAAAATGGGTTGTATAAATCTGGCTTTTGCTCTCTGAATCCCAGTTTTTTCCCTGGGATTTCCCTATCCTCATTATCCATTCTTTACTTTTGTGACAGCTGGGTCTGTTGCGGTTTTTTTTTTTTCTTTTGTCTTTCTGTTTAGGCTAGTCATCACTCCCATAGTAACACCCATGCACAATATTTGAAAATTTTCTTCCTGAGGTCATGTAATATCAATAACAGTGGTTATTCAGTTAGTTATCAGTGTCTTTTATGTTCTAGGGAAGTGCTTTACACATATTTGTTGTCTCATTTTAACTTAATAGTAATTCTGGGATGTATGATTTGTTCCTACTTTACAGATAATAAAACTGAGGATCAGAGAGGTGATGGCCACTAGCATGCCACCAGGAGTCAGTGGTGGAGCTGTATTGTGTCATACTCTAAAGATCTTGACTACCTTACTCTACTTGAAGTGGTAGAATATGACAAGCATATTCTTAGTTTTTGGGACCTCCTGCCTCCTTATGGGATCCTTGTCACTGTCTTCTTCCAGGACATAGGGGCATATGTGAAGGGTTTGTTATCAAACATTTATTTATTTTTGGGAGAACGCAAGTGGGGAGGGACAAGAGGGAGACAGAGGATCCGTAGTGGGCCCTGCACTGATAGGCTGACAGCCGCAAGCCCAATGTGGGGCTCGAACTCACGAACTGTGAGATCGTGACCTGAGCCAAAGTCAGACGCTCAACCGACTGAGCCACCCAGGTGTCCTGTGAAGAATTTGTTTTCAAAGGGAGGTTCAGATGTGCAAGAGGGATGGTGTGAGGGATGTGTGGATCCCTTTAGTTTCTAAAGATGACCACTTAGATGAACTAGCATCACAGCTATTCACCGTGTGCTTATCTTTGTCTTTTTACTTTTTATTATAACCCCCACCCTCCTGCATAATGTTTATGTTGGATGATTTCCATGAGGTTATACTTTCTTCTACACCAAACAAAAAGGAATTGCAAGAGTCAGAGTCACAACTGAAAATCCATTGCTTGCAGAATTAACTCAGGTACAGGCTCATCAGGGGCTGGAGCAGCTTGCTGTGCATGTCAGGATGTCCCAGCTGGAATTCAGCATAAATAGTGCATTCTGTTAGCAGACAATACTGATAAAATTACTCTGTATCAAGTGGAAAATAATAGGGATACCTATCAATTAATACTTATGTAAATTTTATTGCTGGTGAGGTGTCCAGATAGTTGGCATAGGCTAAGGTTTGGCAAGGTGTGGCCCACTTGCTGGCTGCCTGTTTTTGTAAATATAATTTTGTTGGAACACAGAATCATGCTGATTCTCTATTGTCTGTGGTTGCCTTTTGTGCTACAGTAGAGTTGAGTATTTGCAACGGACTGTATGGTCCACAGCCTGAAGCATTATCATCTGGCCCTTCACTGAAAATTTGCCAATTCCTGGGGCACCCGAGTGGCTCATTCGTTAGGTGTCTGACTTCAGCTCAGGTCATGATCTCACAGTTCGTGAGTTAAAGTCCTACATCAGGTGAAGCTTATGCCCCACTTTGGGTGAGCCCCACTTCTCTCTCTCCCTCTCTCTCCCTACCTGAGGAGACATGTCTGAAAAGTTTTGATAAGGCTGATGTGAAAGAAATTACTGCCTGTGGTTTCCTCTAGGATTTTTATGGTTTCAGGTCTCAATTTAGGTCTTTAATCCATTTCAAGTTTATTTTTGTATATGATGTAAGAAAGTGGTCCTGTATCATTCTTTTACATGTAGCTGTCCAGTTTTCCCAGCACCATTTATTGAAGACACTAGCTTTTTCCCATGGTATATTTTTGCCTTTTTTCTCATAGATTAATTTACTGTATAATCGTGGATTTATTTCTAGGTTCTCTATACTATTCCCTTGGTCTATG